GCCTCTCTCCCTTTCCCCCACCATTTCCGCCCTTCTTCTCCCCCTTGTTCCTCCGTCAAGTTCCTCCTAATCCTCCTATACGTGCAAACATATGATATTTGTCCCTTTCTGCCTGACTTATTTCACTCAGCATAACACCCTCAAGGTCCATCCACGTTGCTACACAGGCCAGATTTCATTCTTTCTCATTGTCATGTAGTATTCCATGGTATAGATAAACCACATCTTCTGGATCCATTCGTCCGTGGATGGACACTTAGGCTCTTTCCATGTTTTGGCTATTGTGGAGAGTGCTGCTGTGAACATTGGGGTCCATGTGCTCCTATGCCTCAGCATTTCTGTGTCCCTTGGGTAAATTCCTAGCAGTGCTGTTGCTGGGTCATTTGAATGGTGGATCTTAATGACAGCTCAGATTCTCCTGCAGCCCCGCGTGGGGCAGGGGAGGTCCAGGGGAGGCCGCGGGTGGTACCTGCCGAGTCGTGTTCTCATAGATCCGTTTCTGTAGAATCACAGTCGGATGTCCCTGAACTTCTAGTCGGGCTGGTGCTGCGTCTAAAGCCCTGCTGTTCGGTCACTGACGCTGCTTTGCTGGAATGCCTGGTCCCAGGCCAGAGGGTTCGGTTTTTAGGACAGATCGGCAGAGCATCTGTTCCAATTTAATGATATTTGTGCTTTTTTCACTTACCTCAAATGCTCTTTCACCACTGGCCTTCTAGAGCTTTCTTAGTGTCTATGAGAAGGATGCTGTGTGATGGCAAAAGTTTTTCTAAGATACAGACTGTAAATCACAGGTCCTAGAAGTGTCAGGTTCTTTCCAAGAGGAAGTTATTTCGGTCACGACAGCCACTGAACATTTCCCTCCACGCTCATGGTGCTGGCCACTAAATGAGTGGCTTGAGTGGTGCCTCCCACGCACAAGCTGTGTCCACGTCCGAATCCCTGGAACCTCTGAGTGTGACCCCGTTTGGGAAAAAGGGTCTTTGCAGATGTAGTTAAACGAGATCATCTTGGAACATCCACATTGGACCCAGGTCCAATGACAGGTGTCCTTATAAGAGACAGAGAGGAGGGGCGCCTGGGGGGCTCAGTCGGTTGGGTGTCCGACTTCGGCTCAGGTCATGATCTCATGGTTTGTGGGTTCGAGCCCCGCGTCGGGCTCTGTGCTGCCAGCTCAGAGCCTGGAGCCTGTTTCGTATTGTGTGTCTCCCTCTCTCTCTGACCCTCCCCTGCTCACGCTGTCTCTCTCAGAAATAAATAAAACATTAAAAAAAAAGAGAGAGAGACAGAGAGGAGACGCACAGAGGAGGAGCCACGCGAGGGAGGCAGAGGATGGGGGACGTGGCCACAGGCCCAGGATGCCTGGATCTCAGACTCTGACTTGCAGGCAGGTTTCTGTGGCTTTAAAGCTGCCCAGTTTGTGGCTTGTGTTCTGGCAGAGACAGGAAACTAAGAAAACACCGAAACATAACCGGGGCAGGGTTGCTTCAGAGTATGTGAGTTTTAAGTGTCCTGTGGCCTCACAGGGGCTCTGTTCCCGGGGACAGGCCTGACGGGGTGGGTACCTGAATGAGCTAAATTGTTTTTCTAGGGAAAAATGCACTTCCGCACGGAGAAATTTTTTTCACGTGTACGTCTGAGTTAAGTGCAGAAGGCTAGAATATGTAATGCGGCATTTTAGCTGTCCTGTTTATAGAAGCAGAATAGAAGCCATGACTACATTCTCCAGGAAAAGGTGGTTTTAAATAAAATAACATTAAAGTTCATTTCCTCTCCTCCCTTTCCATCCCAGAGTGCACGGTGCTTTCGCTGTACTTGGTGACAGTATGGAAGTGGGGTCACGGTGCCTCGTGCGACAGGGCACGGGGGCGGTGGGGCTCCTGACTGCCAGGCGGCCCGAGCCGGCAGAGGCCGAGGAAGACGACCATGAGGTTGTGCCAGGTATGACGGGCACGGCCAGACAGGCGGACGTCCCCGCGGCCCGGAGCTCCTGTGTACGTCCCCAGGTCGCGGGTCCTGCCGTGGGGTGCCGGAGCCCCCCTTCCTCCGGGCCCTCCCCTAGGAAGGGCGGCTCCTCTGGGGTGAAGAAGCCGCCGGTCGCGCAGGGTGCACTGGGGGCAGCCCAGAAGCCCGCCTGCAGCTCTGGGCCCGCAGGCCATGCCCACCCGGCAGGTGTGGTGACCACTGTCCCACACGCATGGCCTCGGGGTCACACCGTGGGGGGGCCAGGACTGGGGGAGCTGGTCCACGTGCTCCAAGTGTATCCTCAGCAGGTGTTCAGATGCGTGCAGACCCTTTGGCGGGGGCCGCATGGGATCAGTCACGAGGGCAAAACAAATGGACGCAGTGTGAATGGGCAGCAGCAGGGCTTCACGGAGGAGGTTACTGACGCGCGTTCAGGCCTGTGGAGCCGCCAGCGGCGGGAGTCGCAGCAGGGAGGGTGGGCACCACGAGTTAAGTGGAAGATGTTCTAGGTGACATCATACGTTACACAAATTGTACATTATTTGTACATTACAGTTCCACTTCTGTAACTTAGAAGATATGTTTATGCGTAGAAAAGAGACTTCAAAGACAGATGTTCAGCTGTAGCTGAGGTTACCTTGTGGGATGGGTACCGGTGGTTTTCCATGTCTCCTGCCCTCTGTCGTGTTCTCTGCAACCCCCTTCCGCCGACCACATTCCCTCCTGTCCCCAGCTCCTGGCCACACACACGCAGGCAAACGCATGTTAGAAGTTCCTAAGTGTAAGAAAATGCTTTACTTCTTTTTTTTTTTTAATGTTTTATTTATTTCTGAGAGAGAGAGAGAGAGACACAGTGTGAGCAGGGGAGGGTCAGAGACAGAGGGAGACACAGAATCTGAAAAAGGCTCCAGGCTCTGAGCTGTCAGCACAGAGCCCGACGCGGGGCTTGAACCCACAAACCGTGAGGTCATGACCTGAGCTGAAGTCGGACGCTTAACTGACTGAGTCACCCAGGTGCCCCAAAAATGCTTTACTTCTTTAGACAGGATTGAGATTTCTGAGAGGCACGGGGAGGGGGCTGGGCACCCTCCCCACGGGCACAGAACCATGAGTCAGTGGGGCTCCGTGGTGGCGTTGGTTATGAGCTGTGATGAAGTCCACATGGCTTGGTGTGGGGGCCCCGATGGCCTGAGTGGGGTTGGGCTTCCTGGGAGTGTGTCCTGTATGGACGCCTCTCCAAGGGGCGTTGCGAAGCCCCAGGGTCCAGAGCTCTCAGACGCATGGTGGGCGGGTAAGTAAAGAAATCCGAGTTGCTTGATTATTTAGATGCCCTTTGAGGGCTCTCGAGAGAAACACTTTAAAAAAAGAGCAGAGGCCGATTTAGGGCACCTGGTTGGTTTAGTCAACAGAGCACTCAACTCCTGATTTCGGGATTGTGAGTTCAAGCCCCACGTCAGGTGTAGAGCCTACTTTAAAACAAAAGAGCAGAGAGAGAAAGCGCATTCCCCCTCCCCGAAGCAGTCATCTCCTAGGAACGGAGGTGCGGCAGTGAGGCCGGCGCCTGCTGCTTCTGCTCTGCGTCCCTCAGCCAGTGTCACTTCCGTGGTGACAGGCCCGTGGCTGAGGTGCAAGCAGCAGAATGGAGTTGGGGGCCACAGGGCTCACGGAGACGGCAGCGAGGGTCCCTGCCTCCGGGAGGCCCACCCTTCCCGCAGGAGGGCCAGGCTCCGAGTCACTCAGCTTTCCTGGGTCCTGTGCTCTCGGGCTGCGTTACTCTGGGGTGCTGGCTTTCTCATCTGGCTCCTGGGCGCCTCCAGGGGCGGCTGTGACTGAGGACAGCGCCTGCCATGCCCGGACATTCGGCAGGGGTCTGAGGGCGCGTGGGGCGGCGGGGGGGGGGAGACCGCCCGGCTGATGGTGTCCGCACCCCTGCTCGGGCTCATTCCAACAGCCCGCCTTGCACCTTCTTGACCGTTGGGACCCTCAGTCTGTGTGCTGGGTGTTGGTGCTGACGTGCAGCCGCCGCGTGCCCTCCAGAGCATAGGGTGACGCAAGGGCCTGGGAAGCTGCATCCAGACAGACGTCCACCTTTCACAGCAGGAAATGAGATCCCAGGACCTGGCTGCCCCCTGCAGTCCCCGTGAAATCTGTCTTCAGGACATCTTTCCTGAGCCCCGTCCTTCAGTTAACGGGGTACTGGATAGATGCCCTGCGTGTTCCAGACGGGGTCGTTGTGGTGTCTGTGGGCACCTGTCTCCAAGGGCACCACTCGGGAGAAGGTGCCCGCTGCCCAGTAGAGCCCTGCACAGTGAGGACCCTGCTGTGGGGCCGATGGGCCCCAACCCCCTTGACCTTCTTGACCAAGAGGCCACGTAGAACGTGGGACGAGTTGCCTCTGAGGGTGTGGCCACACCTGGCATGAAGTGTGGCGCCAGCCGTGTGCTCGAGCTGGCCACAGGGATAACCCCCGGGGGGCCCACATGTCACTCTTGAAGTGTGGAATGAGGGGGGCTGGATGAGCCCACCCCTGTTGCACATTTGAGGCTGACCCTGGCCCTCTCTCGGCTGTGTCCACTAGCTGCCCGGCCAGGCGGCCTTCCTCTGGGCACAGAATGCAACGCCACCGGCCCACAGAAGCTTGGAGGGGCGGCTCTGCCCAACTGCCTCCTGGGCACCACCAGCCTGTAGCCGTGAGCAGCGCGGCGGGCTGGGGGCTGTCCTCTGGCTTCACGTCTTTATAACTATGTCTTTTTGTTACGATTCTGCATGTGGACACCACGGCATCCGGTGCTGACGTGAAAGCTAGCGGCTGTGTCTGAGAAGGTCTCTTTCTTAAAAAACGGGAGCAGTGGCCTCTGACCTTGGGCCCCGGCCCTCCCAGCACCTTTGCTGCCAGGCCTCCTGGAAGAGCCCTTGGCCATGGCAGGGTGCCGGGCGTGTGCACCGGGAGTCTGCAGGGAGCAGGGGCTTGCCGGGCAGGGGGGCTGCGCGTGGGGCGGGAGGGCTGAGCGCTGACCGGCTGGTCTGCTCTCTTTCAGTCAACGAGTTCACGGTGATCAGGAAGAAGTTCAAGTGCCCATACTGCAGCTTCTCAGCCATGCACCAGTGCATCCTCAAGCGGCACATGCGCTCCCACACGGGCGAGCGGCCCTATCCCTGCGAGATCTGCGGCAAGAAGTTCACGCGGCGTGAGCACATGAAGCGGCACACGCTGGTGAGTGCGTGCAGGGCCCTGGGTAGGGCCCCGGGTCCACACGCGGTCCTCTGTGCTGGGCTGAGGTGTGCGGAAAGGTGCTGTGGGGTGCCCAAGTGAGAGGGGGCACTGCCTCGACCCCCACCCAGGGACGGAGTGCAAAGGGCAGGGGCCGTATCACCCCCAGCCCCAGCCCCCAGCCTGGCCTTGGCAAGCGCTTCCTCTGCTGCCAGGACCCCTCCGGCCCCGTGGGTCCCACCATGAGGTCACATCCTCTGTGCCCCGGCTCCGAGTGGTGGCGAGACCCCTCCCAGCCTCTGTTGCCCCGTGGCCTCAGGAGACATTTGGTTACCTGTCTTGTGGGCACCAGCTGGCAGTTGCCAGGGTACGGGTGACAAATGGATGGGTTTGCTTGGCCAGGAAGCGAGAAGAGAAGGTCATCCTTGAAACAGAGAGGCAGATTCGCCAAAGACACGTGGCAAGGGACTCTTGTGGGTGATGAGCCGAGGGGGCAGGGCCGGGCCATGAGGCTGCCCGTCAAATCCAGTCTCCCTTGGACACAGCTCAGGGTGGGTTCAGGACTGAGGTTGGGGCCATTAGAGTGTGAGACAGGAGGTCCAGGCGGCCCTGGGATGGCTCAGAGCCCCCAGCATGTGCCATGGGGGGCAGGGAGAGGGCCGTGGGGAGATGTCGTGAGTTTGGGAACCTCAGAGGTGTTGGGAGGCACCTGCAGGGTGCACAGACTCAGCTGGACCCCACGGCACGCTGATCTGAGGACATCAGGAGCAGAGCCCCCCCCCCGGAGGAGTGGGGGGACTGTGTTGGCAGTGGTGAGGGTGACCTGGGTGTGCCCTAGCACAGGAGTCACTGGTGGCCCAATTTGGGATCCCCTCAAGGTTCACTCTCCTTGGACCCTCCCGTTTGGCCCTCTGCAAGGGACACCCTTACCAGCGCAGTGGGGGGGGGCACTTATTTGGGCGTGAGGACAGCCCGGAGAAGCTCCCAGGAGGTCAGGCGGCAAAGCAGGAGGGGAGACGGCCCCGAGAGCGGGTGCACTGCCCAGCTGACTGAGGGTCGCCCCACGCCCCCCCCACTGCAGCATCCCTCAGGTGGGGTCGAACAGGGGGGGAAGGCGGCAGCCCTGGACCTGGAAGGCGGGTCTGGGGGGCCAGCAGCTGCGGGTTGACGTGGCGGCACGGCCCCCGGAACTGCCCTGTCTCTGGTTCTGTGGAGTCCACGCCGAGAGCACAGGGGTCACGGGAGCAGACCGTGTGCAGGAAGTAGGACACGCAGCCTGCTGCCCACACGACTCCCGGGTAGGAGACTAGTGGAGTCTCTTACCCTGAGGGCTGGGAAGTTGTCACTACCAGGTCACTAGGTCTTTTTTAGCAAAACCACGTTATGGCTTCAGGAAAGAGTAATCTGTGGACGCTACCTTGGACGGGCCAGATTCCTGTCCTGGGTTTGCACTTGGGCTGCAGGGCGGGTCATAAGTCCCCAAAAACGTACTTCACAATGTTTCAGGCTGGCAGAGGACCCGGATCTTTCCCTTTAATTTGTCGGGGGTCCCTGACCCCAAGGAGGCTGAACCCCTGCTGACAGCAGGTGGCAGTGGGGCACCAGGCGCCGCCCTGTCCTGCGGTGACCCCCTGTGCAGGCCGGTGCCCGCTCAGCGACAGAGGGGCTGTCTGGACGGTGAGGTCTCGTGCTCCTCGCCACCAGCCGTGAGCCACGGGTTGCCATGGCGCCTGCATCCTCTCTCCCCCTTCCTTCCGTCTGTGTGTTGGGACAGGTGCCTGGCCATCTGGCGCTGGCCTGGTGGCTCCTGGAGACACCTTTGTCACTGCCGGGTGTCCTGGCCCAGCCCTCAGCTCCGTGCAGGGGAGCCCCAGGTCTGGAGGGGCCTCGGTGGGCACTGTCCCCCACTGCCCCGCCTGCTCTCAGAACACAGATTTTGTTGCGGGAAGGTTGAGCAAGCCCGGGTTTAAACTACAGCAGAGAAGGTGCAGGAGGGCCCTGGGGACCAGGTTGTCTCACGCTCCATTTCTAGAATCAGAATGCAGGGGCCCAGCTTCCCCCGCACCTGTGGACACAGTGGTCTTCGTGGTTGGGATTTGTGGACGGGTGTGATGGGGAAGTGGACTGTTCATGTCCGTCGGTGGAGCCCTCAGCCCGGGATGCGTGAAGGGGTCCCTTCAGCGGGTGCGGCCCCCAGGACAGTGACCCATCAGTCAGGGGGGTGCCAAGTACGGAGGAAGGACACGGCTTAGCAAACCCTTTTCCACCATGACACCACTGGTTACGTTTTTATTGCAATAACAGTATTTACTCGATTGTTCTAGAACACTGGAGAAATCAGAAAAATATGAGTAATTAAAATTGCATTTTCCCCTCCCACACCGGCACTGACTGCCCGTCCCCCCCGCCACCCCCCCTGCACTGACTGCCCATCCCCTCCTGTACCCACTGCGGTTCCCTCCCCTGCATTGACTGCCCCCCTACTGACCATCCATCCCCCCCACCCCCTGCACTGACTGCCCCTCCCCATCACCCTGCGCTGACCGCCTGTCCCCCCCACGCCGACCGCCCGTCACCCCGATGCTGACCGCCCGTCCCCCCGCAGGTCCACAGCAAGGACAAGAAGTACGTGTGCAAGTTATGCAGTCGAGTGTTCATGTCAGCCGCCAGCGTGGGCATCAAGCACGGCTCTCGGCGCCATGGAGTCTGTGCCGACTGCGCGGGCCGCGGGGTGGCTGGTCCCCTGGACGGCGGTGGCACCGAGGGCTCCCCTGAGCTGTTCCCTGGCGACGGGCCCTACCTTGAAGACCCCGACGACCCGCGGGGGGAGGGCGAGGAGGAGCTGTGTGAGGACGAGGACGAGGTGGGCCTGGCCCCCGAGGACGCGTTGCTGGCGGCCGAGAAGGGGGACGAGGACTCTCCGCGGGGACCTGGCAGCCCCCCAGGGGCGCCGGACAAGGACTTCTGGATCTCCTAGGCCCCGGGCTGGGGGTGGTGCCACCCCTCCTCTGTGTGTGTGTGTGTGTGTGTGTGTGTGTGTGTCCCGCCTGCGGCCAGGCCACGCTGACCCCCCTGTACTCTGCTCCTGCCCCCCCCAGACACACACACACACACAGACACACACACACACACAGACACACACACACACACACACACACACGCCCTGAGGCTCACATGCAGGCACGACCCCAGGAAGTAAGGGCTCTGGGGCCGAGCACGGGGTGGGGGCTGAGCCTGGGAGAGCACATGGTCCCACGTGTCTGTGGGGACAGATGGAGGGTCCCCGGCAGGTACATGTGGAGAGGGCATCAAGGGGCCCCATGTGGCCAGTCTGGCCTCGAGATACACAGTGGCCCAATGGCCGGGTCGAGGTCAGCGCCGGTCCGGGTCATGAGCGTGGTCCCAGAGAGGTTAAGGGGGGTTTTGCACACACCCGACGTCCAGCGTGGAGTCTCCCCCGCCCCCTGCGCCGCGCCCCTTCTCAGCAGCCTGGTCACTGCCTGCGGCCACCGCCGCAGTCTTCTGCTGCCATTGTGGCCGCCTGCAGAGCCCGGTCCGGTGTACGGAAAGCCTCCGGGCTTTGGTGCTTAACAAAAAACAGCTGCAGAAGCCCCCTGCTGGGGCCGGGGACCTCCAGGTGCTATCTCCCGGCAGAGGCGGCCAGGTGGGGACCGGTGTGCCACGCTGCTCCCCGCGCCCGGCCCCTCGGGTCCCTTGGCGGGGCCTGGGCTCTTTGTTCTGCGTGCACTTCCTTGGGGAGCCGGGGGGGCGGTGGGCGCCTCATCTCCTGGGCTCTGTGGTCCTCCCTGCCCGGGCCAGTCCTCCTGACCCCCCGAGCGCCCTCGCCTTGCTGCTAACACTGGAGGAGGTGCTCCTGGCCGCTGCGTGCCGCGCGCACCTTCCCGCGCGGGTAACCAAACTCTGAGTAGTCGGAGCCGCACCGAGGCGGTCACGTGGAAGCATCTTATTTGGCATTATTTTCTCACCTGACGAAACAGTTGTCTTTCGTTTCGCGGTCGGCCCTCCTGTTGTCTCGTTAGATGTGCTGCCGCCTCTTTGTGATTGTTAGTTTCCTGGGTGGAAAGCAGGGCCCGGCTGTGGGGAGCCCCCCGGGCTGCAGGGCACACGCTGGTCTGTCTTCTCCCTCCTTACGGCCGTTCCTGATGGCACTTCCCCGAGACATTCCGGGTCGCGCCCACGCGGCTCAGGCTTGCGCAGGACTCGGGCCACGTCAAGACTCCCCTGGGTGCTCGGCTGGAGCCCCTGCCGCAGACAGTGGTTTTATTTTTTCTTTTTCCACAGACTCTAAGTTCTTACCGGGTTTTTCATCGTGTCGCATATATCCTTTGTAGGTGGAAAGAGGAAAATCCCACAAGACCCTAACTTCGGTTCCTCTGGTGGCTGGGAGCACTTCGGGCCCTGGCTGCTGTTGGGGGTGCTGGGGACCGGGGCTGGCCCTGTGGGGGGAGGGGGTCACAACTCTGTGTTCGTCTTCAGTGCAGTCAGCCAGACCTCCATCAGCTAGAGGGCATGCACGGGGCTGTCATCTGGCCGCCTGCACTCCTGTCCCGGGTGGCGACCAGGTGGTGACCGAGCCCGCTCGGGCTGCCCGCTCGCTCATCCGTGTGCGGGCAAGGCCAGCTCGGCGGGGGGGCTCTGGGACGCACTTCCCTGCCTGTCGCCGGTGCAGCCCGGGCTGCGCCCTCAGAACCGCGTACCTCCCTGACATTAGGATCCCTTTTCTACACAGACTCATTTTCTTATAAACGTATTTGGAAACCAGACCTTTGCTACAAACAGTGTCTCTGGGTTTTGTGCCGCCCCCCCCCCCCCCCCCCCCCCCCCCCCCCCCCCCCCCCCCCCCCCCCCCCCCCCCCCCCCCCCCCCCCCCCCCCCCCCCCCCCCCCCCCCCCCCCCCCCCCCCCCCCCCCCCCCCCCCCCCCCCCGCTCGGGCCCCCTGCCCACACTCCGGGCCATTGTGCCTCCGCACTCAGGACACCTTGCTCCTTCCGACCTGCTCGCTCCCTGCCCTGGACCGCCCTTGCTGGCCTTTTGGGGGGTTCGCTGCCAGTGCCACGGGGCGTTTTCTTCCTTAAAACCGATACTGTACTGGACCCCCGAGGGCCCCGCTCTGCCCACCGAGCTCCCCAGGCATTTGCTGCGCGGCAGGCTCATCCTCTGCGTGGTTTTCCGTCGTCGGAGATGAACCCGTCACCTCTCAGGAGGCGTGGAGGGAAAAGACGTGTAATGAAGGGTTTTTTTACGTGACTGATTTTTTTTTAAATCAATGTTTAAACTAATAAATATTTTTTTATGAAGAGGAAAAAAATGTGTAGATTACATTTCACGTTTTGTACTTTCTGTTTGTGTCTGTCTGTATTTGGTGTTTGCAACACCAAAGTGGAAAATGCAGTCCGTTGAGTGGGGAGTTCTTTGGGGTGGGCGTGGGCAGGGGGCCCGTGTGACTTTTGTATCGAAGCTCTGGATCCTTCCCAGGTTGTACATCTGGACTCCGGGTTGTGGGAGCAGTCAGAACACTGCCAGGACCCGGGAGGGACCTCGACTCGGGACACAGCTACTGCTTCCAACTTTGCACATCCTCCTTTTTAAAAAAGAAAACTCTGAGAAAATGCAAAAACTGGAACTTTTTGCAATATTATGAAAGATAATCTTATTTTTCGCTCATTCTGTGACGTGTGCAACGCTTATAAGAAAGCCATACTTCGTGGTTGTTTCACTTTTTAGATTCTATACTGTGTTTTGTACGTGGCCCTTTCAGACTACTTGTAGTGAGGGTGCTGTGTGTGTGCTTTTCTTACATATTTATTTTTTCAACATGCTTTCAACCTGTCAACAGACAAAACAGACAAAAAAGGGCAGTGTTTGAAAACTTGTTGTGTTTTTTCCCCTTGGGGATGATCTATATTATATCAACGTTATATTAATAATCATGAACCTGTGTTTGTACTGGAGACGTGTTTCGTATTCGGGGGAAGAGACTTGGGTTGCGGGGCCAGCTGTCACTGTAGCCACAGGCCAGGTGAACAGTACCTTCCCTCTGGTGGTCCCGCGATTGCCGTCCGCCTCCGCCTCGGCGAGCGCCGGGCCTGCCCGTGGGCTTCCTTTCTGTGACGGCGTTAGCTTAGACGTCCTTGCAAAGCTTCCACTTTCAATAAACTGGGAAATTGCTGCTCAAGCAGACGCCTCGTGAGTGTTTCACGGTGTCCCCTCCTCTGGCCTCAGCCTGGGTGCAGGTGGCCAGAGTGACTGCCCCTGCCCCCCAGCCCCTGGCGGTCTGTTGGCGGGCGCCTCCACCCCCCCACCCCTGCCTGTCCCAGGGTCTCAGTTCCACATCCTCATCCCCTAGGAGGCAGACAGTTTCTGGAAAAAACCCAAATCTTTAATTTTTCTCCTCGCCTGGTGCGGCCCAGACTCGAGACACCTGAGCTTCACAAACTGGAGACAAATGTCAGCCCTCCGGGGCCCTCAAACTGTCAGGTTAAGTGCAGGCAGGAGGCCCCTCCCCTCAGAGTGCATCACAGACTGGCCCCCACATGGCCCTGAAGTTCGGCGTCAGCGCCCTGAGAAGTCTGGGGCTGACAGGCAGGGAGGGTGGCTTCCCCCAGGGACCCCTGGCCAAGGGGACAGCCATGAGGTTTGACTTTAGTGCAAAAGGCTAGTTTCTTCAGAGGCACTTTGAGTGGCAGGATCCCCCCCGACCTCTGGGGGGTCTGGGGTCACCAACTTCCCCCACTGTTAAAAAGTAGACCCTGCAGCTGGGAGAAGCCCCAGGCTGGGGAGTCGGGGGTAGCTTATTTTCTCCTTTAAAAAGTCCTGGAGAGCAGGCAGCAGCACGGTGGGGGGCTCAGTCCAGGAAGCGCTGGCACGGGGGGGGGGGGGGGGG